CTCTTTTCATCTGTAAAAAAAAGTATATTTCTAAATGAAAGATTTTATTGGGGAATTGGGGAAGAGGAACAGTGTTGGGGAATTGGGGAAGGGGAACAGTCAAGTTGTTGTCCTTCAATCTTAGTTGTGGAGGGCGCAGCTAGCTCAGCTCCAAGTCCAGTTGCCATCCGGCTGCCCGTCAGCAGCTCATGGCTGCTCAGCTCAAGATACCATATTCATTCTTAGTTATGGGTAGGCGTAGCCCATCATCCCATGTGGAAGTCGAACCAGCAACCTTGTTGTTAGGAGCACGTGCTCTCACCAGCTGAGCCACCCTGCTACCTGTTGGCAGCTCAGCAGCAGCTCAGCTTGGGCACAGCTCACTGGCCCATGTGGGAATTGAACTGGCGACTCTGTTGCTCAGAGCTCGTGCTCTTAACCAACTGATTCACTCAGCTGGTCCCCTATGCTTTTAGCTTTGATTTCTATTTTATCTGATATCAATATTGTATACCTTCTTTCCTGTTGTATGCCTTTGCCTACTGCTTTGGTTATTATTTTCTCAGTATATCTTTTTTCATCTCTATTTTTATTTATTCCATCTGTGATAGTACATTTTTGTGTGTCTTATGAAACAGTTTTGTATTTAAATTTTTTGATGTGAAATTGAATTTGTCTATAAAGAGACAGATTGTAATCTGTTTATTTATTGTGAATACTTCTATCTTTATATTGAATAGACTCTTAAATGATAATGTAATGATTATAAAATTAAGGACAGTAGTTATTTTCCTCAGCATTTTACAAATATCTTCCTTTTTTTTTTTTTTAAATTGACCTCTATTGTTGCTGATAAGTTAGTTCTTATCTGGTTGTTACTTCTGTTTAGGTAATCAATCTTTTTGTTGTGGTAGCTAGAATTATCTTTTTCTTTGTTTTAAAGTTTCACTATGCTGGTCTAAGAGTGGATTTATTTATATTCTGCCCGGGATGTGATATACTCCTTCAGTTTAAGAACTCATGTCTGTCTTTAATTCTAGAAAATTCTTGAGCGTTATCTTTTTAAATTCTGCTCTTTTCTTTGGTCTCTTAAGGCCCCATTATATGCATATTGAATTGTCTCATGCTATCTTTCATGTTTCTTAATTTCTGTTTCATATTTTAAATTTCTTTACCTTTTTTTTGTTTTCTTTGGAGGGCTGGTGATTCTCAGTTTATTTTTCAATTTACTTACTTTTCATATGGGTTCTACTCAACTGTTGAAACATCCATTGAGATTTTTTATTTCATTTGCTGTATTTTTCTTTTCTAGGCTTTCTATTTGTTTTTCTTAAATGTGCTTCTCTTTTCAGATATCCTTTTCTTTGAACATCTAATTTTGTTTAATTTTAATTGAACTTAGTTTTAAAATCACATGGTACAAACTCAGAAGGTATAAAGGTTATTCAGTGAACAATCATTTACCTTCTTCTGACTCCCAGTTTTTCTCCTTAGAGGCAACCAATATTTAATAACTTCTTATGTATCCTTCTGGAGACATTCTGTGCATAGATAAGCAAATATGTAAGTCTGTATGTGTGTTTCTGAGAATGTGTGTTTGTGTACGTGTGTATTTATATATCAATTATCTATTATTCACTTACCTACTGCAAGATAAAAGACTACAAGAGTGTAAGTTCAATGAAGGGAGGCATTTTTATCTCTTTTTATCAGTTTATGCACTGCTGTATCCTCATTGCCTAGAATTCTACGTGGCACATACTACCCATTTTTCTACAAGGTCGTTTTTCTTATATCTTAATGATTTGTAGGACTTCTTTATTTCTGTTTTATTAATTATAGATATTTTCCAAGCTTGCAGTGTTTTTTAAACTAGCTTGTAATAATTTTTGCAAGGCAGAAATAGTTCATTTTGCTGTTTACTGTCTTAATTTTTTTCATTTTTGACTCCCATTTCTTTTATTATTTAGAAAGGCTCTCTGCACTCATATTATAAATAAAATTATCGTTTTTTATAATCACTTTTATGATTTTACTACTTATATTTAAAAGGAAACAATCCAATTAAAAAATGGGCAGAGGACCTGAATAGACATTTCTCCAAAGAGGACATACAAATGGCCAATAGACATGAAAAAATGCTCACTATCACTAATCATCAGAGAAATGCAAATAAAAACCACAATGAGATATCACCTCACATCAGTTAGAATGGCTATTATTAACAAGACAAATAATAACAAGTGTTGGAGAGGCTGTGAAGAAAAAGGAATCCTCATACACTATCCGTGGAAATGAAGATTGGTGCAGCCACTATGGAAAACAGTATGGAGGTTCCTCAAAAAATTAAGAATAGAATTACCATATGACTCAGCAGTCCCTCTCCTGGGTATCTATCCAAAAAAATCTGAAAACATTTATCCGTAAAGATATATGTTCTCCAATGTTCATTGCAGCTTTATTTATGGTGACCAAGACATGGAAACAACCAAAATGTCCTTCGATAGAGGATTGGATAAAGAAGATGTGGTAGGGCCGGCCGAGTGGCTCAGCTTGGGAGCGCCAGCTCTGAGCAGCAGGGCTGCCGTTCGGATCCCACAATGAGGGCCAGTGACGCTTGCCCTCTACAGCTAAGATGATGAACAACAGCTCAGCCTGGAGCTGGGAAGCTGTGAGTCGCCCGCGAAGGCTAGGCTGTAGTGGGGCTGCAGAGGGCTGCCGTGAGCTACGTGAGTGGCTGGCAGCCGGTGTGAGCTGCCAGGAGCTGCTCTGAGCGGCCAACCAATGACCGGCGACTGATTGCCTCACCCGGGAAGAGCACAGTGATCATACCAACATGGGCCAGTGAAGCAACGTCCTCCACAACTAGACTGAAGAACAAAAACAGCAATTTGTCTACCTGTCTGTTCCCCTTCCCCGATTCCCCAATGCTGTTCCCCTCCCCCCAATTCCCCAATAAAATCTTTAAAAAAAAAAAGTGGTATATATACACAATGAAATACTATTCTGCCATAAGAAAAGATGAAATAGTGCCACTTGCGACAACATGAATGGATCTTGAGATTATTGTGCTAAGCAAAATAGGTCAGAAAAAGTCGAGAACCATGTGATTTCACTGATATGTGGGATATAAAACTGAAAACAACAAAAGAACAAGACAAACAAATGAAGAAACAAAAACTCAAAGACACAGATAATAGTTTAGTGGTTACCAGAGGGTAAGGGGAGAGGAGGGTGGTAGATGAGGGTATGGTGATGGAAAGAGAACTGACTCTGGGTGGTGAACACACAATGTGATATATAGATGATGCATTACAGAGTTGTACACCTGAAACCTATGTAATTTTGCTAACAATTGTCCCCCCAATAAACTTTAATTAAAATAAATAAATAAATACTTAATCCATCTGGAATTCAGCTTTAAGATAGCTGCACAGTTGTACCAGCAACATTTATTATATTGTTAATATTTTTTGCACTGATTGGAAATATCTTCATTCCGAATTTTCCTAAGTATTTTCATCTGTTTCTAGACTTTATTCTATTGCATTGACCTGTCTATTCATATACCAGTACACACTGTTATAATAATTTAATTGTTGTGGCTTTATTTTAATATCTGTTGAGTCTAGTTCTCCATCATCATTCTTCCTTTTCAGGATTTTCTTGGTGTTTCTTCCTTATTTTTTATGTGACTTTTAGAATCAGTTTGCCTGTTTCCAAAAACATACAATTGCCATTTTTATTGAGATGAGAGTACATTTTTAGGTTAATTTAGGGAGAATTGATAACTTTATGATATTGAGTCTTTTTGTATAAGCACATAGCATGCTTTTACATTTGTTAGAATATTTTGTGTCCCTTGGTAGACATTAAAAAATTGAAAAAATATGTATATCTTGCACATTTCTTGTAGTGTTTATGCTTAGTTTTTTCTCTTTTCTGTTGAAGTTATAAATGGGAACTTGCCTTCCATTTTATCTTCAGTTTGTTGCTTGCATATGAGGGCTGTTAATTTTTTTCATATAGATATTTGATGCAGCTGGCATACTGAATTTTCTTAATGTTTGCAATAGATTTTCAGTTGATTTGTTTTGGTTTTCATTGTATGTAATCACATCAGCTGTGAATAATGATAAATTTTTGTTCCATTTTTATACCTCATTTATATTTTTTTGACAAACTGCTTGACTAATAAATACTTCCTAAAATGTTAAATAATAGTGATATTTAATATCTTTGTCTTGTTCCTGACTTTGGAAAACTTGTTGTGTTTCCTGATATGGGGGCTGAAGTAGATATCTTTTATTCTATTGAATCTTGAAAATCTTAACTAAATATCATCTATTTTGTTAAGAATTATTTTTATGAATAATGGATGTTGAATTTTACCAAATGTCTTTTTAGAATCTATGGTATGATGGTTAATTTTATGTATCAACTTAACTGGGCCACGGGGTGCCCAGATGTTTGTTCAGACATTCTGGGTGTGTCTTTGAGAGAGATTGTGTTTTTGTTTTGTTTTTGTTACATAAATTAACCCATTTATTATAGGCTAGTAATGTTTCAAATTGTGGAGCTTCTACTGGTCTTTCAATTCCTTCAGTCTTCTGATGACTTTAACCGTGATGCCAGAAGTGGTGTAGGTGCAGGCACCACCAGCTACTGTTTTCATGCAGGAACCACAGTGCCAGATCCCCACAGCTTGTCTTTTCATCTTGGTTTTGCCACAGAGGGAGCAAGTGTACTTGGGGTGCTGGTTGATTTCAATTTTCTTCACCATTTTCCTGAGGGAGGTACCATAACGGGTCCCATATTTACTGATGATTCCAACCTTCCTGGTGCATTTAGCCATGTTGCTGCAAACGAGGTCCGAACCCAGAGAGGAGAGAGAGTGTTTTTGGGTGAGAATAACATTTGAATCAGTAGACTGAGTAAAGCAAAATACCCTCCTTAAAGTGGGTGACCCTCATCCAATCATTTGAAGGTCCGAATAGAACAAAAAGGCTGACTTGACCTTCCTACGATTAAGAAGGAACTCCTCCTGTGTGATTGCTTGAGCTGGGACATGGTCTTTTCCTGCTTTTGGATTGAAATTGAATGAAATATTGGCTCTTCCTGGGCCTTCAGCCTGCCAACTTTTGGATCGGAATTTATACCATTGACACTCCCGGTTCTTAGGCCTTTGGACTCAGACTGGAACTACACCATTGGCTCTCCTGGGTCTCCAGCTTGCTGACTGCATATCTTGGGATTTCTCAGCCTCCATAATCATTGAGCCAATTTCCTATAATAAATCTCTTTCTATCTGTATACATCCTTTTGGTACTGATTCTCTGGGGGAACTCTTAAGACATATGATGATAAAAGTATTTTTATGCTTTGATCTCTTAGTAAATTATATTAGTAGGTATTCTAATGGTGAGTCATCCTTGCATTCCTGGTGTATTGTTCTTTAATGTGAGGCTAACTTCTTTTTGCTGGGGTGTTTTTGCCTTGGTATTTGTGAGAATGGTGTATGGTTTTCTCTTTCATGCTTCCCCCCCCCCCAATTTTAATTAATTAATTAATTTATAAAAAAAAATTTTATTGGAGAATTGGGGGATGGGAACAGCGCTGGGGAATCGGGGGAAGGGGAACAGACAAGTTGCTGTCCTTTTGTTCTTCAGTCTAGTTGTGGAGGACGTTG